TCATTCTGGGAATGTGTAACTGATAAAACTGCTCTGTGTTGACAGACCTCAGATAGCTGGTGGTGGAGGTAAAGAAGGGGGATTAAAAGTGCTCCTTAAGGGTGCCTTTCAGGGGTGTGCATTGTCTGTCCTTTCTGAGATGCGATGTTGAGCTAGGTTTTAGCGAGCACAGATTATTCTAGCTTTTCTGGAGACAGAATTCATTGGTCTCAGCTACGATGCAACCACAGGTGTAATCTGTCAAGCTTGAGAAGTCAAAGGCAAACTTTTGAAAATCATTCCTATTACTTCATGGTAATATGAAGACTTAGTGGAGGGCAGGAAAAAAATGTGCTTGTTGTATATATGCAACAAATGAATCCTAGAGGAGCTATCTCAGTAATTGCTGAAATAAGAAATGTGATATTAAGAGCTCTTACTTGTGTGTCAATCTGCAGGGATCTGGGGACATGAGAAGGCATTAGTTTCTGCCTGGAATTAGTTGCTTGCCAGGAATCGATAAAAGCTGAGAGTACTTGACTACTGTATAGTGAGGCCTGGGCAGCTTTTATTTATTTTGAAGCTTGTCCGTAGATAGTGATTGAGAGATGTTGAGGACCTGGAGAAGCAATTTCTTTCCTCACAAAAGCTTCTGTTCAGTGGTACTTCAAGAGGTACTCATTTACAAGTTGAATTGCTGTACCTGGTGTCATGCTGAAAACATTTCTTTTCCCCTGAGACAGTTTGCTTCCCCTGCATTTGAAGATATTGTGAAAAAGATGGTTATGCTCAACTGTGTTGAATGAACTAGTGGCTTGAGTGCTGGAAGAGGTTGTATATTTCCTTTTCTTGGTTGAATTGCCTGTAACTACTGGAAAAAGAAGAATGAGTGTTCTGAAAAATCATGTGACTTTTCTTTTGCTTTACTTTCCCCATTGTGTGTACCTTCCTTTACTGTCCTTACCTCAACGCTGTTCATCTGCCTTTTCTGATGCTTGATATTGCCCACTATTGTTATCACTTCTCACCAAGTTGCGTTTTGTGCTCTTCCCCAACTTGTCTCTCCCAGTTCCCCTCCTTTCCAAGCACAACTTTTACTCCCCAGTGTTGCTGCACGTTTGGATTGGTTCCCTTTCAGTCATCCTGTCCCTCTCTTGTACCCTGAATACCTTCCTCCCTCATCCTTGATGTCTCATATTAGTTGGTAGTCAAAACGTTGGCTGCTCTAGATGTCTATTTCAGGGAAGGCAGCCACCTCTTCTGAACTACTTCCTGAAAACGTAAAGAGGTTTTATGGAAAATCTCTTCAAGAAGAACGACTGAAAAAATCTTCCTGTAGTTCTATAGCATCATTAGCTAGAAGGCTATGGAGAAATACTCACAAATGTTATTCAAGACCGATAAAAGAAAAAATTACACTATTCTTGGCTGCTTTATTGCTGCCATGTAAATTGTGAATGGTAATACTGAAATAAACCAAAATTTGCCAGTTCACCGTGTTGTAATTTCAAGTATCAATGACTAGAGAAGGAGAGCAGAGAGAAGGAGAGCAGAGAGTGTGTGGATAGCACAAGTTTTGTTGGGAAGAATGGTCTTTGGTAAACGGCATTGGTAGAATTTAGTCTTTTAAGAGTAAATTCCACCAGCGTGTTTGGCGTAAGCCTCTGCTTTCTTCAGTGGCAAAAACATTCAGAACTACATCATTTTCCTATCTTTGCCACAAGCCACACATAAGTCGTTTCAGAAGCTATGTCCTGTCTGTGGGGATTTGGAAGTCAAAGGACATGAACTTTGGACTTACCAAGTGCTGTTCAGCCTTTTCCCAGGAAAACTTTGTGTCTTAGCCTCTGAAATCAAATTCCGTAGTTTGGTAGATTATGTCTGGAGTTAGCCTTTTTGTAATTGTTTTCCCCTTGAAAAGCATAAGCATAAAGAACAGGTTTTTCTCAACTCAGTATCCCATGATAACAAAAAAAGTACTATGTTTTTCAGGAGAAAGTCCTGATACTGTGTAGTCTGATCCAGAAGGAAAAGATAAAAGACATTTGGCAGTGAAGTGTCAGTATTATAAAACAGGCAGTAACTCCTTTAAATATCAACATTTATTATGTGCATCTGTTGCATATTAGCAAGATTTTTTTTATACTAAGGAGTGATATGTAGACTTCACTTTGATAATTGGGTCATTTTCTAATTTTTAAAAATTGGAACAGGAGGGAGAAAGAGCCTCACCTAACTTTAACAGTGATTATAGTTGGGCTTCTTTCCAATGCTAGTTAGACAAATCAGACTCGCATGAGACCCCCCTTAACTTTCATTTTGTGGGTGCACATTTAGGTTAGTTGGGAAGTGTTTTTCTGGATGACTAGTTGTGGTCAAATAAGTAGTAGTTCTTTTTTTAATGTGTCCCCAGAAGCTCATGTGCAGGAAAGCTGTCTTTCATCAGGTTGCAGTAAAAGTGACCCCTGTGAGGAGGACAATGACAAAATTAAACATGATTTTTTGCTGAGAAATTGACCTTGTTTTGTAACCAGATTATCTTAAAGAAAGCAGGACTGAGCACACTTTGTATTTAGCTAAGGAATGTACTTGAGCTTAGGACATTACTACTGGTCTGTAGATCTAAACTCTTCCTTGCAAACCAGTTTATTTTAAGAGTCAAGCCAACTTTTTGCAACATTAGGCTGGTCTTAAGAAGTGGAGAGCTCATAAAAAAAAATCTGCAGTTAAAATTGCTAGGGATTCTCTCTGGCCAGCCAGTTTCTAACAAGAGCAGACTACAAAGGCAATTCGAATGAAAACAAGTACTAAAACTTGGATGAATGTTTTTATTCTCAGATGGTTGTCTACCCTCTGGCTTGCTAGAGAAAACAGTAGAGATTTTTATAATGTTATGAAAGTTCGTATTCAGAACATTGGCTGTGCTGTCAGTAACCAGCGTTTGCTGTGTTTTCTGAAGTTGTGCTGGCCCTAAGGAAGGTCACCCAGGACACAGTGTGTCTTTTGGTTAAAATTCATCTATGCTGAAGTCACCATGGAGATAGCTCTGACAGATATCTGTTTCTAAAAGAATTTCACTTTTTCTGGTATTAATCCAGCAGGGTTTAAAGGAGTGAATCACTTTCTGATGTGTGCTATAGTCTCAATGCAATGGCAATAGAGTTTCAAGGATACTTTAGAAGTGAGAGTTGATGATATTTCAGTGTTCTGGGTATTGTGACCAAAAAAATAATCGACAACAGACACAAGCACTAAGTTGATAATTGGAAAACTGAAAAGCCAAATCCACCTGGTAAAACTACTTCTCACATTTAAAAAAAATGCTTGAAAGTCCCAATGTATTGTATCGTATATCCCAAGCTCACTTCTCTGGTAGAATAATTTACTGTCCGTTGCTGTAAAGAGTGTACATTGCACGTGGAAATTGTGTCATTATTTTTACTAAACAGGTGTTGTGAAACGTTTCAGATAACTACTCTCAAAAGAGTACTTGAGGAATAGTCATATAGGAAAGAAGTTAGAGCTGTGCTTCCAAAGTTCATTCTTCTTGACAGGAACCAGAAGTAAACCTGCAAAACCAGAAGCCCGAAGATCTGTCATGTTGTAGATACTGTTTCAAAAGGCAGTAATTTTTGCTTCTTCAATTTGACTGTCATTTAGAATTTTAGGTCTTTTGCTTCCTGCTTAAACCCTTGGTTCTTTCACATCAATGTCCAAGGGGAGACCAGTGACAGGCATCCCTCAAGGTTCCATATTGGGACCACTGCTATTTATTATCTTCATCAATGACAGATAGGGGGATTGAGTGAACCCTCAGTAAGTTTGTGGATTACACCAAACTGAGTGGTGCAGTTGGTTCACAAGGAAGGGCTGCCATATAGAGGGACCTGGACAGGATTAAGGAGTAGGCCCATGTGAACCAGCATGGACAGAAACCATCTTGGCAGAGATAACCTGGGGGTCCTGGTGGACACTAAGTTGACCACAAGTCAGCAACATGCCCTAGCAAAGATGGCCAACAGCATCGTGGGCTCCATTAGTAACAGCATTGCCAGCAGGCTGACAGAGATGATTATTTCCCTCTACTTAGCCTTACTGAGACCTCATCAGAAGACCTGTGCCCTGTCCTGGACTCTTCAGTACAAGAAACACAGGGACGTACTGGAGCGAATGGAGAGAGGGCCCATAAAGATGATTATGGGACTGGAGCATCTCTCATATGAGGAGAGGCTGAGAGAGCAAAAGGTTTTCAGTACTTTCTACTGTACTATAAACCATTTCCAAGCTGTAAGAAAAAGATGGAAGTAGACTCCAGCAGGGGATGCATGTCCCCTTTCCAGTGTGTATTAACAGGCTGCATGATCAACCTGTTGTGTGGTTGTTACAGCTGGTGTATGTGTCTTTCAGTTAATAGTTCTAACATTTCAAGTCTGCAAGTGACAGCTTCTGGTGATTTCATTACTTTATGGTGAGTGCAGGTGTACAGATTTGTTGTCAGATCAGAGTCTGTAACACTGTGCTATACAAAGCATGACTTTTGTTGACAGTTCAGTCCAACACTGCAATAGAAAGGGCAAATTTTGTCCATGAAGAATAGTTATGTCTATTGTAAAGCATGGGCTCTCTGGGGAGTACATGAAAGAACCTGCAAAGCTGAACATCTCATCACATCTCTTCATAAAGTTGTGATCAAGAGAGGACACGAGGCCTGTCTTGTTGGAATCTCCTTTTTGGTCTGGACTGAATGTCTTGATTTCTTTCCGTAGGCGTTACACACCTGTTGGACCAATAACATTCATTTGTTCTTAAAACCTCTCAAAACCTGGCTGTTCTATGAGAATTTGGTTATGCTTTGCTATTGCTCTTAAAATAGTCGCTTAAATAAGAGAGAGAAACTTTGTCATACAGTGGCCTGTACCAGACTGAGTCTTAACTCATCTTTGTGAAGGGAGAACCTGAAATCCTTAGCTCTTCACCCTTTCAGAGATGTCTTTGCATCAACCTGTGCGCCATGGTTTGAGCATGGATTTGATGAGGCTTTAGTGAAATGAAACACAACAAAGAGTTGTAGTTCTGCATTTGCTATGCCATCGTTCCTCTGTTTTTTCCTGTTTTTCCTGTATTTTCTCCTGTTGTCTGCACAGTTAACCAGGTACATAAAGACCTTTCTTCAGAAGTATGCTCTCAGAACTGGCAGTGCTTTGGGAGCTGTTCTGACGGTGATGGCACTCTCTGGGTTTTCATGTTGTTGAACTCACCAATAATAAACAGTCTTGAATGGTGAGGATGAAGAAGTGGTAACATAAACAGTATAGTTTATATATAAACAGTTATATCAAAAGCCAGGGTAAAACTATGATTACTTGAAATACTCTTCCTGCTTTCCTCTGCAAATGTATCACTGTTTTAATTGAATGGTAACAAAACAAAAATGAAAAGATTCAGCCCCAAAGCTTGTGCAAAAGAAACAGTTCAATAGGTTAAAAGCAGATTTTTAATAGTTCCATTATAGGCTTCCTATTCAGGTAGCTTTATGATTTGAGGGTTGTGTTATTGAAATACAATAATTGTTTTCATTCAGGTAAACAAACATTAAAGATATTTGACGGGAACGATGCAGTGAAACGCAATCAATTTCGACTGATTTCAGTTCCAAGGATTGCAAAAAATGAAGAAGTTGTGGTAAGATACCTGGTGAAGGTCCAATATTCCAGTGTGATAAAGGGGCGTGTGGTTGTATGTTACAATAGTCAAAAGCTAACAGTTTTACAAATGTAACTCAACAACAACAAAATCTGCAAATTGGCTGTAACATTACAACGTGATTTGATTTCTTCTAGTAGTGCTCTTATTTTAGAGCAACTGAAGAAGTGGTGGCCTACATATCTATAGCATAATGGGCACCACAGCATATCACATGTCAAGCAGTCATTCTTCTTCTCTGTGTGACACTGAAGTCCGATTTTACTGATGTGAGCAATACTGGATAATCAGCTGCTTAGATCTTGCTCCTCTTCTATAGTATTTAGTGATCTGACATTTATCCTGGACAGCCACTGCTATTGCACTTCAATTAATCAGCTTTGAAGGCTGAAGCATCCCATAGTTACCTCCACTCCTTGGCTGTGAAAGCAATGAATTGTTGATCACCTGGTGGCCACTCCCTAGCTTTGCCAGTGTTCCCTCTGGAGTGGAAACATGACTCAGTACTAAATCAAATCTTCTGTACAGATCCTAATTTACTGGGCTGGGCAGAGACCCCATGCTGTGCAGAAATGGAGCCCAGAGGGGATGTGGGGTGGTGCACAGTGGAACTGAGCATGGTGGAGACTCAAAGTCATAAAGGACTTGGCACATGAGTCTGGAGAATTTATTACATCGTAATTTTGACAATTTAAACCTACAGCTCATTAAGATTTTTAGCTTGATACTGTGCTCAAAATAACAGGAGTTTTCAAAATGGTTTGTAGTGTTCTGCATGTCAAAGTTCTTCGAGGAAAATTGTGTATAGTGATGAAAACACTTTAATTTAGGAGTGTTACTTGCCTTTCAAGCACATTTTATCACAATGCTTCCAGGTCAGATTAATACCAGTTCTCATAAGTGACTTACTAGACTTTATTCACTTCAGCATCTGTTTTAGCAGAGGTGCTGCAGGGATGGGCCAGTAATGGATGTAAAATTCCTGTGACTGCTTGCATCTTCCAAGGACAGCCCTTACCTTTCCTCTTCACAAGTGTGTGGGTTCAGGGCAGCCTTATGGCTGAGAAGCTTACTAATTTTCTTCATCCCCTTAGTGCAAGAAGATTGAATTTGCAGAGTTGGGCACAATCAAGTGTAATTTACCATTTTCCTTGTGGAGTAAATTTTGCATGCAGCGAGTGTAGCTTTATTGGTGCTGAATTTTTACATTTGATCTATGGAGTTAAAGTGACTATCACTTGACAAAAATAGTGTGGGCTGTGTTCAAATCCACTGATATCTCAAGTTTTGTTTTTGTATCTTCCACTAAAATTTGTTTTCAAAATTTCACTCTTGTTTTGTTTTTTGCCATTGCTATTTATTGTTTGTATTTGTTGTGCACTTAAAACATGCATTAAAGGTTGGTTCCATAAGTAAGATACCTATAAACGTCTATGGCTATACAGGTATTAATGGTGTCTTTTCAAGCAAATGTTAATTTATCTTGCTATGTTGTAGGAGGCTGCTTTGAGGGCATACTACATAAACGATGACCAGCAGGAGTATGAGCTTCAGACTTTTACACAGCAGGCACTGCTGTCTGATGATGTTATCAACAGGAATGATGCTGCAGAGGACAGCAACTTGGGCTCGGTATTCCGAGAATCTGTTCCTGAAGCTTGGATCATCAGAGCGAAACCAAAGGATGAGGAAGTGATCAGAATTTATCCTGCTTGGCTGAAGTGAGTGGTCTCCTTTATCACAGAGGTTATGCCGCTCCGCTACGTTTGTCCTCGGTAGTCTAGCCCAGTGTGTTTCAGTTATTGAAGTCACACAAGTGTAAGAGAGAACGTGGTTTCTTCTTCTGTGTTTCAGGATTCTTCTGTTTATTTTTCTGAATGAGTAATATACATATTATTCATTTCCATGCCTGGAAACGTGCTCGTGGGTTTCTTTACGTGCAGGGAACATACTGTGCAACTTGTGCAGTTCTATTATCATGTGTTTGGCGAGGGAGATACAACCTTACATTAACTGCATCTGTAAACAAATGATGACATAAACATGTCACTTGAAAGCTTGATGGATTTTTGGAAGAAATATTAAGGGGGAAGAATTCGGTGTAACTTCTGATGTGAGAATAGTAGGAAAAATGAAGAAAAAAAAAGTCTGTTCCGTTTACCACTGAGACAATATATATTTTAAGTACATTTAGCAGTGGAAACAAGACTGGCTGGGGGCCTATTCATTTCTAAAGAGCAGTGGGATAAAATTCAAACATTTTTTCATTTTGCTAATACAACTACTTCACCAAATTTTGTGAAAGACTTGTAGGTAATTCTGTGTATCAGAAGAAACTAATTTGCAGTGCTACAATTGTAATGACCAGTTCTTGAGATGAAAGTCTTTGCTTGTCTGTGGGCCTAATACTGCATCTGCCGTGAGCCTCATCGAACAGCTTTCTTCAACTAATACAAATTTCTGCAAATAAAATTTGCCACTTGGGTAAAAAAGGTACACGCAGGATACGTCAAGGGATTGTTCTAAAATAAGTATTTCTTTTCTCTTTAGGGTGGGAATGGCATATGTTTCTCTACGAGTAAACAAGGATAGCACGACGCAGACTGTGATCAAAGAAGTGCTTCCATTACTTGGAAGGCAGGTAAACGGAAGATCATAGGCATGTCGATGTACCACCTGAATGCCACTGAAGTGTGTGTTTTTGTCTTTACAAAAATTATAATCGGTCCATTTGCGGTTAATGTGAATGTTGTTGATGTTTGATAAGTGATGTCTTGCGAGTGGTATGATGCTCAAAACTTTCTGCAGTCTTGATGGTACACCTGTTTGCTCTGCCCTGGAAGTTACCATCAGTCTTTCTGGGTCAAGCAGATTTACCGGTATGAACAGAATGATTCTTGGCATGCAGTATATTTTTTCTGGTTGTTTATGTCTTGATCTGTTTAAAATATACTTGTATGTAGCTACACTGCTAATTTTACCATATTGGGAGCCTGGCAATCACTGTTAGGATGATCATGCTTGTTTCCTTTGCGGTGCTTTGCAAAGGAAATCATAGAGTATATGAATTTGGAAGGGACCCATAAGGATCATCAAGTCCAACTCCCTGCTCCTCGCAGGACTACCTAAAATTAAACCATATGCCCAAGACTGTCATCGAGACTCTCCTTGAATTCTGACTGGCTTGGTGCAATGACCGCTTCCCTGGGAAACCTGTTCCAGTGACCAACCATGCTCTCAGTGAAGAACCTTTTTCTAGTGTACAGTCTGAACGTCACCTGATGCATTCCCTCATGTCCTATCACTGGTCACCAGAGAGAGATCAGCACCTCCCCCTTCACTGCCCTCCGTGAGGAAGTTGTAGACTGTGATGGGGTCACCTCTCAGCCTTCTCTTCTCCAAGTGGAACAAACCAAGTGACCTCAGCTCCTCCTCCTAAGCCTTGCCCTCGAGGCCTTTCCCCATCTTGGTTGCCCTCCTCTGGACACACTCTAATAGCTTGATGTCCTTCTTATATTCAGGTGCCTGATCTATTGAGGTGCCCAAAACTGCACACAGCAGTCTAGATGGGGCCATACCAGTACAGTGTAGAGCGGGACAGTCACCTTCCTCAACTGGCTAGCTCTGCTGTGCTTGATGCACCCCAGGACGCAGTTGACCTTTTTGGCTGCCTGGGCACACTGTCAACTCATATTTCACCTGCCATCCTCAGATCTCTTTCTGCGGGGCAGCTCTCCAGCCTCTCATCCCCCAGTTTGTATGTATAACCAGGATTACCCTGTCGCAGGCAGCACCTGTTCTTGTTAAATTTCATACAGTTGGTGACTGCCCGGCTCTCTAGTCTATCCAGATGTCTCTGTAAGGCCTCACTACCCTCAGGGGAGTCCACAGCTCCTCCTAGTTTAGTATCATCAACAAACTTACTAAATGTATGTTTGATTCCTGCATCCAGATCATTTATCATTAAAGAGCAGTAGCCCTAACATCAAGCCCTGGGGAACCCCACTGGTGAGTGGTCACCAGCCTGATGTAACCACATTTACTATAACTCTTTGAGCCTGACCCATCAGCCAGTTGCTCATCCAGCTTATTATGGACTTGCCTAACTGTGTGCTGGACAGGTTATCCAGAAGGATATTGTGAGAGACAGTATCAAAAGGTTTGCTAAAATCCAAAAACACTACATCCGTAGGCTTCCCTTGGTCAACTAGATGGGTGACTTTGTCATAAAAGGAAATTAGGCCGGTTAAGCAGAACTTTCCCCTTGTGAACCCATGCTGACTATGACCAATGACTGCGTTGTCTCTCAAGTGTTTTTCAGTAAAGCCCAGAATAACCTTCTCCCTAATTTTGCCAGGTGCTGAAATGAGACCGACAGGCCTGTAGTTGCCAGGGTATTGCTTCTTACCCTTCATGAAAACTGGGAGGACATTTGTCATCTTGCAGTCAACTGGGACCTCTCCAGACTCCCAAGATCATTGAAAAACTATAGAGAGAGGTTGTGCAATAATATAGTCTAGCTCTTTCAGTGCCCTGGGATGAATCCCATTGGTGCCCCATAGACTTATGCGCATCCAGCTGGAGCAGCAAGTCTTGTGCAAATTCAGGGTCGGCTGGGAGTTTATCATCACCCCAGTCATGGTCCTCCAGCACAGGGCTCCATGGGTCCCAGTGCCTATCATCAGTGTTGAAGACAGGCGAAGAAGGCATTAAATGTCTCTGCTGTGTCTACATCCCTGTTTGTGAGGTGACCGACTTCATCAAGTAACAGACCAATGTTATCTCTGATCCTTCTTTTGCTGTTAACATATTTTTAAAAGCCCTTTTTGTTGTACTTCACAGTGCTGGCCAGCTTGAGCTCTAATCGAGCTTTGACCACACAAATTTTCTCCCTACAGTGGCGAACAGCATCTCTATAGTCCTCAAGGACTACAAGGAAGGACTCAGGGCTGAATGGCACCCACGTTCTTTACCATCTGCATTTCTTCCCACCTCACTAGACATTATTAGATGCACCTTATAATCTTGTAGATGTACATGTTTTCCTTGGAGGATGATCTGTTTTCAGTCTGCCTGTCTTTCTTACAGTCGGTGCCAAGATAGCCTGACTTAGGAAGCATGTTAGTAGAACTTGGCAAGTGTGCCAAGGCACTGGCAGTCTCAATCACAGAGGTGTGGAACCGTGAAGCTATAGCATGCGTATTTCATTCAGCAGTTGTGGCTTGAGAGCACACCAGCAGATGAGCACGCTTCTGCTGCTGCAGGCTTCCACCATGCTCACAGAGGGCGACCACTACCTTTTGCGGTTATTTACAGGGTACATAGGAACATGCATGGGGTAGCTGTCTGCAGGAGGTGATCACTGTAGATCTCTGTCCAGGTGTACACAGCTATCTAGTGCATGCAGCTTGTTTCGTGCCGTAGGATGGTTCTAGGATTTGATTTCAGTCCTTTTCCTCAAGTGCTGTGGACCTTTTAACAAAACTTGGAAAATCGTGGCTGAAGTCTTATCTCATCTGAAAAAAGCAGCTGTCAAACAGGATAGTTGGGTACTCTGGGAAGGATCTTCACATCTCTGTATTTGGGAATCTGGTTTTATGTTGTAAGACTTAATTTCTTGGCTCAGTTGCAATTTCTGTGGTACTGGTACATCATTTTTTAAAGGGTTTTCTCCTTTTTTCTGTATGAAGATGCACGTACAGGAAATCTCTTTTTAATATCCCGAATTTGCCTACGCTGAAGATCCTCTTGAAGGTGCTCTCATCAAATTTCAGGCAAAGCAAGTGTAGGCGGTTGAGGCTTTTAACGCCACTATTCATGACATGCAAAGCAAGATCATTTGTCCTCTGCATCTCAAGGCCAAAAATTAAGAGAATTCCTCAGTTCTGAGAGTCACATGTTTCCAGGGATGCAATAATCCTAGTAAATGGTTCAACTCTTGGCTGTGCCAGCTTTTCTCGTCCGGCTGCAAGGGACTCACTCGGCTGGTCACTGGCAGCGTAGTTTGGGGAAGTGACTGTGGTACACAGGAAGAGGGTTTTGTTCCATCAGTGCCGGTGGAGTGCCCCAGGAGGTGGGGACCAGTCAGCTTGCTTTTGCCAAGCCTGGTTCCTGGGCCATCTTCTCAAAGAGCAGGTTCATTCCAGTTCTGTGTGCTTTCTCTGGAAGGACACGCTGGAAATATCCTAGTTGAGCTGCTGGTCACTGAAGGTCGGTAGAGTTACCGTGCTTTACATGTGCCCCTTCACCATGGGGCTGCAAGGATGCTGATGTGTAGTTAAGGGCACGGGAGCCTGACACCATGTGTGGGAGGCTGAGTCTGTAAAATGAAGATTTTTTTTTTTTTTTTTTTTTTTTCCTGGCTCCTGGGGGGGGGGGTGTTTTTTTTTCCCTGGCTCAGGAGGTGTGGGTTAGGGGAGAACATTGCGGTTGGTTTAAGAATGTTTAATTTTCCATGTTCTGCATGTGCAGTGTATAACATAACCTTAACATAAACAAAAACATGGCAAAATTATATTTCATTCAAAAACTACATTTACATGTTGTGTCTATTGGCAGATGGAGTGCCTCCAGAATTTCAAATTGGTTGAAGTGCTTATGGGCAGTAAGCAAGGTAAGTGAAGGAGCATTGGCCAAAGGAAGATCTGTAACTGGTCTTCTAACTTTTTTTTTTTCCCTCTTTTAACACAGTCACACTTAATTTTTTACAATGCCTTCACAAATGAAACTTCACCGTCATGTTGAAATACCTAATCAGAAGTGATGTTGGTTCTTTTTGATCTTGTGTGTCCCGTGGGAATGTGGTTCCCTTCTCTTTCTTCATCATTATGTTAAGGTTTATTAGTGGTTTCTGGTGGGTATTGACACTTTGGCAAAGAACCCTGTTTGAGGGAGCTGCCTTTAACTGACATAATTTTCTTAACTGTGGTTATTTAGTAAAGATTAATTGTAAAGTTGGGTTGGCTCCCTTCCTTCTCTCCTCTTTGCCGCTGGCTGCTGACACTGCCCCCAAACAAGAGCAAATCTGAGTCCTGAGATAGTCCAAGGAGTATGTGCGTGCGTTATGAAGTACAGAAATAGGCAGTTGTTATGGTTTGAGAGACCCATAACAATGTATTGTTGGTTAGACAGTCATTCTATTACCCAATGAACCCTCCCCTCCCGGGGAAGGGAATCGGAAAAAACAAGGAAACCCAGGAGCTGAAGTATAAACAGATTTAGTAGAGTAAGATTAGATAATTAACATTAACAGCACTAAAGAACCAATATTGATCCCAACACCAATACAGAATATACAAAGATTATACTCAGCCAATTCTATCAGTAGAAGCTGTGCACTCCCAGCAGTGGACAGCAAATGTGGGGTACTGTGAGCGCTATGGCTTCAGGAGGAAGGGAAGGCCTCAGGAGTCTGGCACCAGGGCACGAAGTTCTCAGGATGGCAGCCATCAAGGGAGAGAGAGAACTTTGCAGCAAACTTTCTAATGTACAGTGAATGTGATGTTGATGGTATGAAATAATCCTGTTGGCCAGTTTCGGTCAAGTGCCCGGGTCTCTCTCCTCTTCATCCCTGCACCTGGCAAGCTTGAAAACAGTGAGACCTTGAAACCCACACACCATAGCTGGCTGTAAAGTAAATATTTTCACTAATTCAGACACTGGAGTCTTCTAAAAGTGCAGTTTTCCCAAGTATTAGAAGAGAGATTAGTCCCATATCACTCAAACCAGGACAGCAGTCCTACCATTGCTCATGAGGTTTGTGATCCTGCAGGAGCTGAGCTGGTGTTCCCCAGGTTCACGTCTCTTTGTGCTTCATTATTTGTAAGGCTGCATGGAGAGATAAGAAAAGCCACTGAAGTAGTCTGATGATGCCCTGGCTGCACACACCTAAATATCTTTGTAATTCAAATACTGGCCTGATACTTTGCTTTTTTTGTGAACGTTATCAGTAAGTTGGTTTATAAGGTTATTGTAGCCTTGTGAATGTCTTACTTTGGTTGGTTTCTGGTGCTCCCTTTTAAAGCATCATTTACAACCTCACTTTATTTGGAAGGTGTTACAATTGTTTTAATATTTTAATAAAATACTGAGGTTTTTTATTACTGTAGTTGTCAGGGAGTGCAGTTCTAAAGTCTCATGTCAAACAGCTTGTTACCAAAGTATTACTTGTCTTTTGAGTGGCTGCGAGATGTCTCTGCCTTTTTTTAAAGGGTGGTGTTTAAGAACTGTGAGCAAAATTAGGCTGTTCAAAGCACCTGCATGGTTTTTCTGTTGAATAATGAGTAGTTTGGGTCTTCATGGTCCTTCATGTTAATGTTAGTTGTATGCAGAGTTGAGAATATTTGCTAAAATTTTTTGTATTGCTTTTGTTTAATTGAGTCTGATAATAACTTACAGTGCTTTCAAACACGATTAATATTCTTGCTGTCTCTAGTTCAGCGCATGGTCTTGGACAATCAGGAACTGATTCTTAACAGACTCAAGGACATAAGAAAGGTAAATCTGAAAAAGCAACACGATCTTTTTTTATAGCAAGTAAGGAGTCCCCTTTCTTACAGAAAAAGTAAGTAATCAGTTACACGCCCTCCCCCCCCGCCCCCCGCTTGCTCCTCTGTAGAGAAGCTAAGTGCTTGGACTGAAGTTTGTTTCTGTTTGTGGTATTCTCTAGGCGTAGAGGACTTGGTAGCTAAGTTCAGAACTATTTGGGATCTTGTTTCATGATGTCTTTTTGCCAAATGTCACGTCATTTATTTTTCTTTATTTTGGTAGACTTCAATACGTCAGATGAATCAAACAAGATTTTACATTGTGGAAAACAGTAAATCCATTGTACGAGTAAATTTATTTGTTGGTGGCCTTCCACCTCAGCTTTCCCCTGAAGAATACACAAACATTCTCAAGGATGAATTGGCTATCAAAAGTAAGTAAATAGGTGCATTTTGAGATCTGTTCACTTGTACAGAATAAAATATGTAAGCATCTACTGCACCTTTCTATATTTTTTTTTCTTATTGTTTTCTGACCTTATTTGAAAAATCAGTCTGCCTTGTACTCTCACAGGGGTCTTTTTTTATTCATTTTAACATGTTCGTGGTTGCATGAGAGATGTGACAGCTCAGTATTCACGGAATTGTTATTTCATTATTTGAGTTATATGTGACCACAGGGTTTTTTTTGTGAAAAAAGCATCACTTTTTAGAAGTGAACTTGCATACCTTACACCATTCAAATTATGGCAGTGCAGTTTAATTCCCTGTGCATGAACATTCCTTGCCTTTTTTAACCTCTGACATTTTTTGCGTGGGCTGTTCTCCATGTTGTTCATTAGCTCTGTGCCTCGTCACAGAGAAGTATGAGCAGTGTGTGCACACACACACGAACAACCACTCAGTGAAATTAATTTATTTTTCTTTTTCAAAGAAGTGTAATTGATTTTTCATAATACTCTTTCAACCAGCGTGTTCTGTAAACAGTGTCAGAAATGCGTCATGCTTTTTGTTTCAGGAAACGAAGCGTTTTCCCCAATCTTTTATGTAACTTCAGGAGGAATTAAACTTTAAATGCCAGAAAGAATTCATAGTCACCTTTTATGAAAATCAGTTTAGCTTTTCTAACTTGCAAAGTAAACTTAGGAGAGGGAAAGTGTTAGCTGGAGGTTCTCCCTCTATTTGTATAACTTTTAATATTTATTTATATTATATTTATGTAACTTTAAAAAATATTTTAAATATTTACTCTAAAAGTACCCAAGGTTTTATGTGTTTATATTTTTACCCTTTACAGCAAACGTAGTATCTGTGAGTCATGTTTATCAAGCACAAGGTAAGCATTAAGATTTTTAGTCTTGCAAACAATGTCTATTTTCAAAACTTCAGCCTAATACTAGAGGCTCTGAGCTTGGAGTATGTTAGTCTTACTGTATAAGCAAAAAGCCCTTCGGATAAAATGTAACATGTTGTGTTTATGAAGAGCAGTGGATCAGTGTTACCTTATTAAAAAAAATAAAAAGGTTGGCTTCATGCCCTGTGTACCAGAAAGTAATATTTCATCGCAAAAATGAGTTTTGAAGTTGCACTTCAGCTCTACAGTCTAACACAACTGACCCGTTAAAAACCCATCAAGTACTCTCTCTTTATTTTCACTGGTGAAATACTAAAATTTGGTACTGCTTTTGAACTTGATGAGATTGTTTCGTGGTCAGTCTTTCCTAGCACAATATTAAGTGGGGTTTCAGTGGCTGGGGTTCTGAAAAAAATCGGTACACTCATCTCTGCATTCATCCTTAGAGATGCTGCTTTGCTTTTGCTGTACGAATTTTATTTCAGCAAGGTTGGAGAAGCTGTGAGGCTTCTGAGAGCTGGAGCAGCCGTGGCTCTGCGCAGCTTTAGTGCAGTGGGCAGGTGGAGATCTGTGTTTGGTAAAACTTAAAAGTGTGGAATTTCTCTTTGGTACATTTAGGTGTCCATATTCGAGATGTTTCATGTCCTTTCGCAGGCTTAACTTCACGTGACTGCTAAAGGAATCTTTCTATAGCATGGTTTTGAAGACTGATGTGCTTTCTTTGCGTATTTGCTACACGGCTGACTTTAATACTGACTTTTCATAAGGAAAACCATAAAGCTTTCAGATGTGCCTTCTCCTTTTCATTTTTCTCAATGGAGAATAGTTGTTTTTGTGATACTCTCATGTCACAGCTTCATTTAACCAAGTTTACCTGTGTGTGGTTTTTTTATCTGTTTGTATGTGATTTTTATTCTTTGTGTTTTTTAACTTTGAGTATTTTTATGATTCTGTAACTTACTGACTCACTTTTGCTTGCAGCTAGGTTGTGTTACCAGCTTACATCTCATATGCTGTCAGTTATGCACCTTGATCATGTCTTGCCCTGTTTTCCTCCTCACAAAGTATCCTACTTTAAACTAACTTGTCAGTATTTTATTTTCTTTTATTTTTCCCTTTTGTCTTCCCTTCTTCCCCAACTGCCCCATACAGGACCTAAGCTGACATAAAGATCTTAAATTGATTCTCAAACCAAATCTGTGCTTGTAATAATTCTTACTGAGATATTGTCAACAAATGGAACCACTGGATTTTTAATGAGATACAAAATAAAACCTGATACCTTTGTCACTTTTACATGATGAGAACTGCCTGTTAGTTATGACAGAGTATGGAAATAGGCCATACTTCTGAAGCCCAAATGCAGTCTTTAAAATATGCATCCATTCTGTGCTGCAGTTTCTTTGTGTCCTCAAACTGCTTTGCTTTAACAAAAATCTGGGATGTGTTTGTGAGTACGAAGGAAGGCTTAAAAAACAAAATAGCTCAATTCACTGATAATCAACAACCACAAGTGTTGCAGAGTAACTTTTACTGAATAATGTCCTGAGTAAACTTCTGCTGTGATATGATGATACTGATTTTTTAATCATAATAGAAAATATGAAAAATAGTTCTGATGCCTCTTTACAGGTGCTGTTGTACTCGAAATTTCATGCTTTTCTGAAGCTGAACGAATATATATGCTAGTTAAAGATACAACTGTCAATGACAAGCCTCTGAATGCCGTGGTGATTCCTGAAGTTATGGTAAGAGATGGGTTTGAATTTAAAATATGCCTTTAAAAGAAAAACAACTACCATAAGAGTTTTTCTGCTGGAAGTAAATGAAAACACATTTTATTCAAAGGAGTTGTACAGTGAGTTTCTGTAAGTAGCATGATGGAAAAAAAATACTTGAGAGCCTGTACTTCATGTATATGATATACTTCTGAGAGTTAACATGTCCTGTTGAGTTGTCAGGACTAACTATACAACTGCATAACTATACAACTATGAAGGGGAGAAAAATGATTATTTTTTTCCTCTTTATTTCTTTGAATGATTAAAAAGTTAGGTCAGATTTTAGTTTTAGCCGGAGTGTCTTAAAATGCTTACAACAATTTGTTTTGGGGACTAAACCTGTTTCCTTGCTAACCATGAGGTAAAGTACTACTGCTAATCTTCACATTTACAGTATCTTCATTTCCCCCATTCTGTAACAGAGGGAGTCTGAGCTTGTTTAAATGCTGCATTGTGGATTTCAGGGGAAAACAGGATTTTGAAAGACTTAGTGCGAGAGTCCTTTCACAAATTCAGGCTTGATTCTCATTTATTAATTTTCATGGTTACAAATCACTTTCCTATGAATCGGTTTAATAATAGGTTTCATATTAACAAAGCAGATTCAGAGTGAAAAGAGGTAAATAGTTCACTGAAAAAAAGTGATTTTTAACCAGGATGATGTTGGTTCTGTCCAAAAGAGAGTGTAACCAGTTACTTTCTGCTGAGCCTGTTGTGTGTCTTGCAGTTACTGTCTTTCTGGGGTTGCATTATGGCAGGTGAAGTGAAGGTTTTGGTTTGGCTTCTTAGAACTTCACAGAAGGTTGAAAACTTAAAAAAATACATAGTGGGAACTATGAAACAATTTTAGATGGCAGGGTCTCAAGTTCGGTAGCCATAGTTGCGTACTTACATGCCTGCTTTTACCATTTCAAGAATCCTATGCTTTGTCAAAGTTTTCTGAAGGCAAAATTATTTTTACATAAGCAGATACTAGTGGCAGTGCTTACGTGAAACTGGCAAGATTAAAAACTAATCACCCCTTCAAAAAAAAAGTGAGAACCTTCGTTCTTATGCATGCATAGGCATTCTGGTTTATGAGATCTTTAGAAACCACCATCCGTCCTCATCCAAACTAGGTTTCAGTTTCTGTTACCAGAAACAAAAGGCAGCATGAAGATGGGACTGGTTTTGGATGCTTGTTTTTGGTGGTTTTTACTCAAATGCGTTATGAGCCTAGATTTGCTGCACAGTGTGAAGTTGAACATACTCCACTCTGTTGATTACGTGTGTCTGGTTTTCTGACACAAGATATGTTTGAAGCAAACTTGTTGCTGCCAGGAAAATAGGGATAATGCTGTCCATTATCTGATGCAAGATGTTTTTTAGAAACTCCAGTTCAGGGGACTGCTAGGGATGAATTTCTAATATGTAAGAAAGAGAGAGGGACTGTACATGCGCACATACATTTTGTTTGCATTTCAGCATGTGTTGTTTATATTTGGTCCTGTCACTGAAATGAGCTAAGAGTTAATCTAAATAATATTTCAAGTGTTGTTCATGTGTGCTTTGGCCACCCAGCTTACGCCATTCACCAATTACCCAGGGTAAGCTAATAAGTGATTGTTGACCCTACTTTGGGTAGCAAGTGGACTAGATGACCTCTTGAGGCTCCTTCCAACCTGGATTATCCTTTTACCCTATGACAATATTATCCTTTGTTTATATTTTAAGTATGTGACCATTTAAATGTAACACCAGGAAATATTATGCAGGAATTGAGCACAATATTAAATTTATGCTGTGTTTGGCATACCTTTTGTGGGTGAAATACAAAGAATCTAGGAATGAAGGACTAATGCGTAGTCTCAGAAGAAGAATGGGTGATAAAACAAAGGCCACAGTGTTTTAGTTAATGAATGATTTTTCCAAATTGCAACTTAAATTAAAAAAAAAACCCAAAAACAAACAAACAAAACAACCCTTCTTAAAAGCCAATAGAAACGCAGAAGTAAGTTGGTGGTTAGCAGTTTGCTAGTCCTTCGTTTTCCCAAGGTGAGATTCACTTACTCTGTGTCTGATACAGTTTCTAAGGATGAGGCCCCATTCTAGTCTGGCATGGTCAGGTCTGCCAGGAGCAATTTGTACTCTTAACTGTCACTACTGAAAAGTTTGAATGCAGAATGAGTTTGCGCGAATTGCTTATTAGAAAGTCAAACAATTCATGTGATCAGATGGGTCGATCTGTTCTGCTGTTCCATGATCTCAAGCCTTTAAGAATTTAATCAAACAGTTTTTCATTTCACAATATTCAAATAAATGAAAATACTCTCTTTGGAGTGTGAAAACAATAGTTTCTTACAAAGCTGTTTAGCTGCTGTGTGTACGGACCTGCAGGGGCAGTTTGTATCACTCTTTGGTAGCATGTCAAGGTGAAAGAAATTGCAGGGCTGAATCTTTGAATTGAAAGCTCATTTACCAGAACTCCTTTTCCAGTTCTGGCAAACAAGGAAATCAGCAGAGAGTTGTATGAGGCCAATGTTGGCATGAAGATGACAAGTTTTTGTGGCTTTATCACTACTACCACTTGCCAGTGGACTGCCCTCTGATGTATTTAGCTTCCTTAAGAGTGGTAGAAAAATATGTGGGAGTTTACCAAATGGGTGAAACTTTCCATTTCGTTCATTCCACTAATTCCTTACACAAATGTGTCCAACTTAAATGATAGTTTTATGACTCTCTTTGCCCAAACATCATGAAAGGTTACTCTCCACCCTTTTTCCACTGCCACAATTCCCCTGAAAGTAAAGATAAGGCTCGAACTCCTGCTGTGTTGACCCAGCTGCAGCTCTGGTTGCGTTGAGACACCTTGCACGTCGTTCCTCATCAGATACAATGGCTCCTTTCTTGCCAGGATGGAGGAAGTTTGTGCTTGGGGCATCATGAGTCCTTGCACATGGGAGATGCTGGAGACAGCCCGGTTGCAAATGGTGGATTTTACTTGTCACTGATACCTGCAGTTCCTGGAGACTGCCCACCACCTGGGAAGATGCACTGTGGTTGCCGTGCTGGCGGGTCTGTGGCACAGAACGCCTTGTTCTGCTTCGTCGTGAGATGTGATTGCACAGTACGCTCAACAGAAAGGGGATTAGCATGGATGATAAATATCTTGCCCCAGCCTGAAGCCGCGTTGGGCTAATCCTGAAAAATTAAGCAATTCACAGTCACTGTCAGAGTGTCTAAATCACACGGCCTCCTTCAGCTGTCTCTAAGAAACGAGAAATAAATTCCTTCCTGAACGCCAGCCAGCACAAAACCCCTCTGCAGATTTCACTCCTCAGGCGGAACACTGAAGCCAGGGCTAAAGGGGGAAGGGAGTCCTCAGGCTCTGAGTCACACATCCCCTTCTGCCCAGTAACAAACTCACTCGTACGTCCCCACTGGGGCTTTATTAAGGGATTTAAAAAAAATTCTGCAGCATAAGAGTGCTACCCTTGTGGCCGTCGGTAATTGTAATGAAGCGTGTACTTTTCAGAAAGCAACACAGCAGTTTTCCTCTGCTGTACAAACTGCCACAGAGTTTTTAACTCCTAATGAAAAATAATTGTTTTCTTAGAAGCTGGCCTTTATCTAGGGATTTAGCAGTGTTTCTTACACCTATAAGTTTAACGAGAAGTGATGGTGGGAAGCAAGTTAACTTGTAAGGCTAAGCACTTTCTAGAATACTTCTGTTTATTCTACATAGGTGCATTTAGTCCTAAAAAGGGATAGTTAGGGATTTACATTAGAAGATACTTGAACAAAGATGGTTTTGAGTGGTAGGACTTCTCAGTTCACGCTACATACAGGTACTTCGTTAGCTCCAGGCATTCCCTGCAGCTGCTCGTGTCTTAGTAGCACTCAGTGTAAATGTTTCACTTTTTTTGTGTGTGTGTGCAATATTGACACACTCAACAATGAGCAAATTTAGTTGACAGTTTTGTAGAAACTGTAAATACATATTAGCAACAATATAAATTTACTTGGGTAGGATCTCCTGACGACTTTCCAAAACACAGCTGTGCTTTTGAATGCCTTGGAGCTTACCATGTCTCAAAAATCATTGTGATTCCCTGACGTTCCTTGTGAATTATTTTAGTTACTTGGTTTTAAACCCAGTGCGTTAGAACTTGCCTGTAAAAGCAAGTAATATAAAACATGTGTTCAACATGTCACTTCTAAATATCCAAACCCAACATTTTTAGAAACTGATTTCCTGAAGAAGAGAAGGTAATCAAATGTTCTTGTGCACATTCAAGTAAGGTATTTGTTTGACTTAAATGCTGGGCTGGTTTCTTTTCTCTCATTTGTTTTTGAAAAAGTTCTTGTTTACTGCAGAACTGAATATTTATTTCTTTCTACTATCTCCTTGCCTGCTTTTTTTAAACCCCACAAGTTTCCAGGAGTTGAACCAGGCCTGAAGTTTCAGATAGCCTGTATGGTTCAGAAAGTTGAAATGACCGGAGGTGAAATTTAAGCAGTAAAAAAGCTGGAAGAAGAGGAAGAAGTAGGAAGTGATGAGGTGGGAAGGTAGGGCAGAGTAGAATCTGGAATAAGGAGTGCAGGAAGGGAACAGTTTGCCCTGTTACCCCATGGGGTGTGGGTTACGTTTCAGAGCTGCTCTGCCTTTTGTTGCTTGTGGGATTTTCTAAGGACCATTCATAATGGGATATGGCAGGTGATGGTGCAGGAACTGATGGAGTTAACGAGAGGGGCTTTACTTCTGGAAAAGCCAGAGCTCTGCTTACTGTTTTTATTAATGCCTGTGATGGCTCGAGGGGAGGAAATCCACTTCTCTCATTGGGATGTGTGGATCCTTGAGCTGTTGACCTTACCACTCATGAAGTCCTTCCCTTTTGTGACAGTGGCATGCATTGTTTTCCTTAGACTTCCTTTGCTGGCTACAAATACCATTTCCGTGTGCTCAACAGAAAGAAATGCATTACCCTTGTTGTGTGTTGGACATGCTTTCAATAATTGCTTCCCCTTTTCCAATAAAGCCTGAATATGGAGGCAAGAGGTGTTTTGATGGAGCAGTCATCACAGTATAGCGTGAAGTTGGCTTCTCTGGAGCAGGCTGTGTGGACAACTTTGCAGCATCAGTCTTCCCAACCTAGTTGTTTTGCCAGCAGTGAAACCTTCCCAATAAAACAAAATTTTTAGGCTCTTCTGGCTCTTTGTCAGCCAAAATAGCCCTTGTTTGGGTAATTATTTTTGGAGAAAACATATATATTTTCAAATTGAATGTCTTTGGTAGAATCTAAAGGACGAGGAAGGAAGGGGCAAGAAAAGACGTGTGTGCCTGCCCCACCAACCTTCTTACCTGCTTAGTGTTCCTCTTCCCAGTGTGTTTTCTCTCGCAGGTGACATCCTGCGAGTCACACTGGATGGCAGAGGGTATTTCTCATGCAGGCAGTGACACAGAGGAGAAGGATTTTTATGTGTTTGTAGGTATCTTGACACATCTGGCAGGGTGTGACTTGCACAGGATTAGCACACAGCTCTTAGCAAAGCAAAATTTGAGGAAATCTCTCAAATATGGGGAAGCCCTAAATGATTGTTTGTTTTTTAAGCATCCAAATCAGCTCAGAAGGTAGACAGTGGTCTGAGGTATCTCAACACCAGGGTCCAGTTTGCATCCCCCCAAAGCTACATATTAATTTGTCCCGATTTCTCCATTCTTTGCCTTAGTTCACACTCTCTGGTGATCGCTCATGGACAGCAGCCGACAGGCTCTCTGGGTGCTGTCTCCTCCCCTCTGTAGCTGTTGGTATCTCTCTGCATGTTTGCACACTGCGGTCATGCTGCTGCCTCAACGCCCCCTGAATCATTCTTGTCTAAATTGACTTATATTTAGCACTGTTGTTCTGTTCCCTGAATCCATCCTGTCAGCTGCGTAACAAATTGCTGTTCCCTGAATGCTGTCCAATTTGTAAATAAAAATTACCAGGACTTAAGGACTGTGGCAAACATTTTGGTTTGGAAGCGCTTGTTGAAATGCCCAACAGACTTTTCTGGCACGTACCTGCCCCGCAGCTCTGTGGCAGGATGGATGAAAAGTGTGCTGGTGTTTTCTGGTCTTTCTACAACGATTTACAAATCATTTTACAGAATGATTTATAGGCTGGCTACCTGAAAACCAGCCCCGAGGGGGTGTTTCTGGTGGCTGGAAGTTTTGACCTCCGGTGAGGCTGCAGTTACTGTTCCCTCAGTCCTTGGAGTATCCCAAGAAATCCCTTTCTCCCATGTGCAGTGGCTCGTTTGGAGTGGTTCCTGGATGGGTACCAGGATCTTCCACAGCACAGCCATGCTTTGAGAGCCCTTTCAGCAGCAGCTTCAGTGGAGGTGTGAGGATGGTAAGATACTGGCACCAAATCCTCCTGATTAAAAATTTTAAATAAGCTTTTTTTTAAAGGAAGCTTTCAGCCTCTTGTTTCATGGGGAGGAATGTGCCAGTGTCTGCCCTGAACACCCTCATTTTGAAATGTTTTATCCTTGTAAATTAACATGTAGCCTAAGACGACCACAAAACTTAAGAAAAATGGGTCAATTGTTTTTGGAAGAAGTTCTCTCTTTGTAAGGAAAGCATTTGAGTAGTACGTGGCCCTGGAAGGTACCTTATCCTCTCACACTATTCTTTGGCATAGACTGTTTACTGAAAACTTGGATAAAGGACTACTTACAGTGCCTTTGTTTTTAATGTTAGGCTCAACTGTGTAGTTGGAGTGTGTTAAGGAAACTTCAGTTCTCAGAAAAATAAGATCAGCAGCTAACCTGTCCAGTGTCTGGACATTGAATCTTTTTATTTATCAAATCTGCATTTTTGTACTAAGCATCAAGGAAGCATCAGGAAATAATTCTGAGATACAGTAGTAATTTTCTTGCCTAGTCAGGTTTTGACTAATCCTTTTCCTTGTCTTCTTTCAGGCTTCCAAGATACCACGGAACTGCTGCCCACTTCTTGTATTTGTGAATCCAAAAAGTGGTGGTCTAAAAGGTCGGGATCTGCTGTACAGTTTTAGAAAGCTGCTAAACCCACATCAGGTCTTTGAACTTACCAATGGTGGTCCCCTGCCTGGGTAAGTTGTCATATCTTTAAATTATTTTTTTTATTCATGATGTTTTGTTATTTTTTGAAAGGGTGGATCAGATTCACTTGTTATGAAGATCTAAATTGCTTCTGTTCTGTGCCTGAAGACCATAGCAGTGGATCACTCCTCCTGACTGGTTCTCACTGTGAAAACAGGTTTAATCTTTGAGGTTCTTTAAAGAAAATAGTTCCTCACATATATGCTTTTGTCAAGTCTAACAGAATCCAATCCTGGGAAAGTCATATGCACTTTACAATAACATAGATTTAATAATTATTGAAGATAAAAAGGGTTTATAATTGAATGGGGATGGAAAGAGAAATGTCATGTTGCCCAATGAGGGCTCATTGTTGCTTTTATTTCCTCTGATGTTTCATGGGAACTAATAGGAAAGTATAATACAATTTTCTATCTTGACTCTAGAAACTTGGCCACAACTGCAGAATTAACAGGGCTTGCCTGATCACAGCTGCAACATTTCTAAATAGAAGGAACAGAACATAATGTGCTTGTAGGGAAGCAGGAACCGATTACTTGATTTAGTCAACACGACTTTGTTACCAGCTTCATAAAACTGAAAGTGGTCGTTGTAGCCTACTCAGAGTAGCCTCATTCCTTCAGGACTGCTCTAATAAAGAACTGTCATGACAAGCTCTTCAAAACAGAAGCTTTCATGGGAGAATTGCAGCTTGTGCAGGAGGAAAGGAAAACAAGCTACACAAACTAAGTTTTTTGTCAGAACTGTGTAATTCTTTTGTCTCTCTAACGCAATTCAAGCTGCAACTTCAGTAATTTGTTCATGTTGTTTTGCCCACGGAATCCTTCTGTAGCTGTAGGACAAAATGTTTCCAGTTGTCCATTGCTTCTTGAGCAATGGGAAATAAAAAATCCTTTGCAGGATATCTCAGTATGTAGAATGAAAAGCCACCAAAGGTAAGACTGACCAGGAAAACACTACTATGAGGAAGAAAATGTACTGAGTCCTATGACTAAATAAAAAAAAAATAATCCATTGCTAATCGGCATCTCTGCTAGGATTTAGAGTTACAGATGTTCACAATGAAATTAGGAATAGTTAGATCTCTGTCTTTGATCAAAAAGAAAGTGATTAACAATTTAACTCTAGCTGTGAAGAATCTTAGAAGTATGTGGTTTTCACTCTTTTTAAACAGCTTAATCTAAAAGTTACTATTTTTCCATTTACTTTGAAGTTGATCCTGAAACTGATGGTGAAGGCTGGGGGGAGGGAATCCAGTAATAATGTGTTATCTTAAATAGCCTGTCAGGAGGCTTTGCTTTTCCTGTACTACGTTGTAACATTTATTTTCTCCTTTGCTTTGTTTCTCAATGGAGGTTTCACACGTTCTCTAAAGTCCCCTCCTTCCGAGTGCTGGTCTGTGGAGGGGACGGCACCGTCGGCTGGGTCCTTGGTGCACTGGAGGAGATCAGGCACAAACTGGTGTGCTCTGAGCCCTCGGTTGCCATCTTACCTTTAGGAACAGGTGAGAATCACAGCAAGCACCATTCTGAGGGCAAAAGTCCTCCAGAAGGTTTATCTTTATTTATCCGTCTGATGAACAACTCGGTTTTGTGGTAGAGATGCCATGACTTGGTTCTGGCCAGTGTTGGAGAGCAAATGCAATATCAGATTTTCAAGGAAATGTCAGTCATCCTTCCTGAAGGAAAACTGAGCAGCGGAGGTGTTGGTATGGGTCTGTCTGAGTGGGGAGGAGTTGGAGAGGGCAACATATTCTCCCCAGACAACCACAGGTGCATCAGCCCTTGCTGTAAACCGGTGAACTTGGTTGCTTCCTGACTTCTCAACTCTGTAACAGGTTTTTCTATCACTTTTTTGTGAAAACTTTTCAGATGAGACAGCATGTCTGTAGGTGATACTAAGCATATGTGCAACCACAACAACGCTTAGATATTTTTTTCTGCTTGTTAACTTTTCAGTCCAGTCTATTTCTGTGAGTTGTTTGGAGCACCATAATGCAATTTAATTTGTAGAACAGGCCTGATAGACTTTTTTTTTTAATGCTTTTAGTTAACTTATGAAATGCAGTCATATTTTGGGGTTCTTCATTGTTGCCCAGGTAATGACTTAGGGAGGGTCTTGCGCTGGGGAGCTGGCTACAGTGGGGAGGACCCCTACTCGATTTTGGTTTCTGTGGATGAGGCGGACGATGTTCTTATGGATCGTTGGACTATCCTTTTGGATGCAGAAGAGCCAGCTGAAGGCGCAGAGAATGGCATTGCAGAACCTGAGCCTCCAAAGGTGAGCTGAGCGCTTGTTTGGGTTTGATTCTTAGGAACTGTTGTTCTAGCAAAAACCACTAAGAAGTTATTGTAGTTTAATCTTTTACTGCTCACCTGTCTTTGAGCTTGGGCCTTACTTATGCAAACACAGCATAAATCTGGATCTAGTGCTACAGTTTTGGTAGGACTGGTTGGCTGCAGAACGTGCTTCGTAGCTGTTTGGCAAAAAGTATCTGATAGAGGGTTAATGAAAAGATTCAGATGACAATGGTGTACCTATTTGCTTCAGTTGGAAAGAAATTTATTTCTCAAATAAGAAAAACTTTTTGAAGGAACGCCAGACACTTTCCAGAATACTAGTGAAAGTGGAGTGTTGACCAAAAAAAACCCCACCAACCCCCCAAAAAAGTACTCTCATCTTTCCTTCAACAGTTTAAAAAATTACTATAAATTGCTAGCATATACAGGAAGTTAATCCTTCTGTCATCTTACTGCCATTGCATGTCTGTATGTGTGGCATCTGTTTTATTTTTTTTGGAGTGAAAGTCCCTGTCCCTTTGTTCGTCTTATTTATATCTATTGGTTGTAGATGGTGACTTCAGAGCTTTGTGTGAATCCTGGTTCTATTTATCTTCAGACAAAACAAAGAAATTGGGCAAGGGGGTGGCAAAAAGAAAGTAGGAAATTGTAATAATGGTAGCAATTGTCTAAGATGTTAGTCCAGTCACTGGAAAGTCCTAGGCATTATGTGACAATTGGAGGATTTAAGGTGCTCGGGTTCCAACTATTTTTCACTTGGTGGAGACGAGTTGATTTGTCCTGAGTGCCTAATCTGCTTTTTAAAGGTGAAGGGTGGGAGAGTCCAGGACTAGGACAGAAAAGCTATGGAATGGACTGGAATGCAAAGGAAGAATTAATTGCAGAAATGGTTTAAATTTGTAGAAACTTGAGATTGGCATATAGGGAGGTATTTAAAATGCAGCTGAGTAGGTGAAGTGAAGTTCTTGACTCATCTGATGTAGGCTGGTCACCTTCCAAAGTAAAGAAGAGCATCTTCCCACTGATGTCATGATAAATCCATGGCTGCTGCCAAACATAATAATGGCGTTATTGTTCAGCAACTTGTGTAGTTATTGCATAGAATTGCTTTGAGAAGTCAGGTTGGTTTTATTTCTGCGTTTGTTTTTATGTCTGCCTTATTATGCTTGTTGCTTGCAATTAAGATTAAATTTTGAAGTTTTTGATACTTTGGAAATAATGACTACACATGTCAACAATTGTCCGTACAGCTTTATTTTTAGTGCAGTGTTTCTGGAAAATGTTTTCCAGACTCTGTCAAGATGCAAGTAACTTGGAAGGATCATCTGGAAAGCTTGCTTTTGTTAAAAAACTTTGGAACCTCTTCACTTATAAATGTAAGGAGGAAATAATACAATTTTTTTTTTTTTTTGTCAGATTGTACAGATGAACAATTACTGTGGTCTTGGCATTGACGCAGAGTTGAGCTTGGACTTTCATCATGCTAGAGAAGAGGAGCCAGGGAAATTTAATAGCAGGTAATCCTGGGGAAACCAGGTCTGAAGGGCAAACCCTGTGGTATTGCTAAACTTCCTACTTACACGGTGGCTGATAATCTGGAAATGCTACAGGTATCCACAAACAATATTGCTTGAGGCAGAGCTGGCACAGGGAGGAAATAAATTAGCCAGGAACTCATAGACACAGAATTTGGCAGGTTTGTTTGGTTTTCTTTTTTTCTCTCCCCTCCCCCCCCCCATTTTTTTTAACCAAGAGAGAACACCGAAGCAGTTTGCAGAAGCCCTGTCATTGTTATTCAGTACATTTATTTGCCAATAACTGAAATATTGAGGTAGTGGAAATATCTCTTATTCAAAGCCTTTAACAGGAGGGAGCGTAGCACTGCTCTGTTAGCAATAAACACACTGTTCAGAACTTCTTTGTACCTTTCCCACCCTTGCTTAGGGCTGTGGTAGCACCTGCATCCTGGTAATAAGGATAAAGATATCTGTATCTCAGGTCAGACTGTGTGATTAAAAAGGTGTGGAGAGAGAAATTCCTCCTTTCTGGCTTGCAAATCAATCAATAACAGTACTTTTTCTTCTTCCTACAATCACTGAAATTCATGGGGAAAAAAAAGAAATCATATTTGTGTAATTAATTGATAATTCCTTGTAGAAACTGTTTTTGTCTGCCTTCCCCTTTGTTTGTGAGTAAACGTCCTCTAAATTGTCTCCCACTTGCCAGAGAGAGTTACAGCCAGTTACAACTATGCAGTATTCAAATCTGAAATAGTACAAATATTCTCTAATCAGTTATGAGTGTAATGATGTGTATCCACCTATCTTGCGGTGTTCTGTCTGTCATTACAGGCACTGCTCATTTTTTTTTTTTTTCTTAAAAATGGAATAATACAGGATATTGTTTGTGGTACATAAGTTACTATTAGGCACTGGTTTGCATTTTCAATCCACTGGATCAAAAACATCATAGGTCGTAAAATCAGGGAGTAAGTTTGCATATAGCAGTGCCTGTTCTAGTGTGTAACACCGTTTTAGATTTACGTGTGCTATTATTATAATTTAAGAGTTATGTTCAGTCTTCCTTTAAAATATACTACTATGACTTTGCAAAGCTGCAGCACTTTAAAAGATGCGTCCTTTTCTTATTGCCACTGTATTTAAGGGTTATACTTTAACTTTTATTGCCCTGTGTGCTTTTCATCCCATGAATCTCTATCTCAGTGCACAGTGTGCAGCACCTGTAGCGCAGTGGGCAATGACTTGGTACCATTCTTGCAGACCTTTCACATGTGTATTTGGACCTCATGCAAGCAGGGTGTCTTGAAGGGCTTGTGGGAGAGAAGAGATGATTTATTTTTTTTTTGGTAAATCTCAAGGGCTGTATATTTTTGTGATTCAAGATCTGGAAAAAAAACCCAACATGAAGTAATGAATTGATACTGAGGTACATTTTTGCAGGATGCAAACAGCTTGTTCGGGCTAACAGTGCTGACATGATTGCTGCCTTTCACTGCCTGTGACGATGATCGTTAAAATTGCTGGTTTTACCCTTTCCCAGGATGTGCAAGTGCATACTCTTGCCAGCAAGACTAGCTTTTTTATTTTAATTATTTTCAGTAAATTAACTAATAAGGGTGGCTACTTAATGCCAGATGCAACAGTGCCTGGCCTGTGAACTGGCTGTTCTTGAGTACAGAATGGGAAGTTTCAGGTTGTGGCAACAGAAATTGCAGGTAGTCCTTGGAAGAAAAATGGGCTTGAGTACTCTTCTGCATCAAGACCTTTGGCTGGTAAATGTCCTGAAAGCCGTGTGCTCTCGGGCCTCACACTGTAGAGTCTCTACACGCTAAAGACTCCTTACCTTTGGCTAGCAGCTCACAGTGCAGTGATGACCTCCCTGCAGGAAATTTAGTGCTCAACTTGCATTGCAGGACAGTAGAAATAGTGTATGTTTTGGCAGTGATGGTTTTTACGTCGTTGAGTGCCAAGCTGTGTGAGGTTTTTTTCACATTGTAAAACTTAAGGATCAGGGCATCTGCCTTCATTCCCCCATTCCCATGGGATCCTGGAGCAGTCTTTAGGGTTGCCTGTTACAGAAGACACCACGTCTTGCTTGTGCCATCCAAAATTGGCAGGATGCTGCTGTGGCAGGCAGTCTCCTGGATGTGAGATTAGGCAGAGATAATATTCTGCACAATTTAATGCAGGTTGAGAATTGTACAAAGAAACAGAACGGTTCTTTTACTTGGGGGGGGGGGAAGGTTTGAAAGTATTTGTTGTTTGATTTATCAGTTGTGAGTTTTAAAATGCTACAACAACTACTGTCTAACTCACTTTTTCCATCCTGGGTCCTCCGTATGTGAACCTGGTAAAGTTGTTTCCCAGTCAGTAAGATCACTCTAATAAAAGCACCCAAATGGATTCTAATTACTGGTTAGAGTTTGTAGCTTTTGCAGTGGTGGTTTCCCACCCAGTGGTGGGCTTGTGGAATTGCAGGACTAGGTAAAAGGTGGTCATTTTATTCTGCTTGATAGCTTTCCGTGCTGTGTGCTGCAGTTCTCAGACATTTGCTTCTGAGAGATGTTACCTAGCTGTTTATTAGTGCTCATGCAGTTCATTTAAAAAGGTCTGGCACACAGATTTCTTATCCATCACCTTTAAAAAAGAGTTCCACAAATCTGCCCTCTGGATGTGCAGCAGCTGGCAAGAACTTTGAAAAGTCTGGCTTTCTGCATCAGCTCACTTTGCTTCTTCAGGGCTCTTGAGGGCTGGCTTCTTTATTTTGTTTTCATGAAAGCTTGGAAAGCAGTTACTGATGGTCTTGCTTCCCCTGGCCAGCAGAGGTGCTTGCTGCTCCTGCAACAGCCCCAGGGACGATAAAACTTAACAGTGTAAATTGGTGCTGTGGTGTGTCCCTGAATCTATGGAGACTTGTTCATGGAACTTTAAGAGTAAAGGGTGTTTTTCAGTTTGCTCTATCAAAGATAAATACAGGATCGCAATACTTAAAAAACACTTGTTTACTTTCATAATCCATGAAACACATCCTATATAGGATCACCTTTTAACTGTATCTATTCTGAGATACGCAGTTAGCTAAACTGAAGAAACCAAGGGGTGATTCCAGAGCTGTGTAGGTCAAAGCCCCAAACTCATCTGGGCAGTAGGATGTTACTTCGGTATCTGTACTCTGTAGAGCCTTCCAAATAATTCCAGGGTGACATAATGATGCAAGTGTTACAGCTGAGCTGATGCGAGGACTCACTGGCTCCACAGGGATGAATGCCCTGCATGTAACACCCGACCCTCCTGTCTCATCCCCATCAGTGTCATTTACAGCAGTGACTGCAATGTGAGTCTCACCTAATACAAACCTTGATGTCTGTCAGCACAAATAAGGAGTTGGGAACTGCTCAAGACAGGAAGGAAAAGTTGTCCTTGAAGTTCTTTCTCCCCACAGCACGTCCCATATGTAGATGTGCAAAGAAGGGTGGTGATTCTCTCTAGCAGTGGATGTGCAAAGATCACCCTTCCAAGCTTGGCTGAACATTTTAATCATAAAATTCTTCAGGCACCTTCAAAACCATTGGGTAGGAATTGGCACAGTAACGCTACAGAAATCAGTTTGTTCATTCTTATTTGGTCTCAGTGTCCTAATAAGATACATAAATGGAATGGAATTTTTATGCAAGAATGGAGTGATAGGATTTAACCTCTGACAGTTTTCCCTTTGTTTTGTGTCACGGGGTGCTGCATCTCTGGATCCTGTGGACCTTAGTGGTCCATAAATGTTTCTTAGAAGTCACGTAACTCAGGACTGTGTCTGCCGTTATGGCACTGTCGTATTCTTTCAGTTTCTGCAAGCTTCCTTTTTCATGCAACAAAAATTAACACATCTTGGGGATATTTAAAGTATTGTGTTTCCTACCAATATTCTGTTATTTTTCAGTTGTATCCAAATCAGACAAAACCTGTCTTAGCATAGACACATCTTATTGTCTTGTCTGTAGTAGAAGCGTACATTAAACGGTGTTACATCAGGTACCTTTAATTCAATGCTGTTTAAGACTGTGAGCATGTAGGACTAATCGTTCCCAATGCACTAATTTAAAAGAACTGAACAGTCTCTGTCTGAAGAGCTGACTATAACCCACGTGCTAAACTGGCTGTCTTCCCCACTTGAATGTCTACAGCATTTAGACATAATGCTAGAGAGATCTTGCAGAGTTGGATTCCACTGACACCCATGTGCTAGTTGGGTCAAATAATGGAAATTTAAGCTTTTTATTTTGAGGTTGCCCTGAAGGCTGTGTATCCAAAAGTTTCCACTATAGAAGAAAATACCATGTGTGTTTAACTAAAATGTGTTTATGTTATTCTTAAAATACTTTGACATTTCTAAGGATGCCATACAATCTTCCTCATCTTTTTTTTACTCTAAAATCAGAGATGTTAGGGTTCTGTCACAGGTTAACATTGCTAAGCATGTTTTAAGTTTCTACAGCTGAGTATATTTCAAATGAATTAGCAAATGTAAAGCAAAGACTTGCAGAGGTTTTTGTCCCTCAATTATTCTAGCATTACATAAGAAAACATTTTAAAATGTTTCATGAAGACCCCTAGGTCTTAATTAAAAATACAGTTTTTCAGCCCAGAAGTTTACATTTCAAAGAGGCAGCATTCAGGCAGCATTTTAAGAAGGGATGATTTTCCTGTAGTAAAATTTCACAGATCTCCACATGCCTCGACAGCGCAAATCATCCCTTAAGTGAAAGGTATATGAAGTAGCAGTTTGTGGCTTGTGCTTTGTTTCTGCAGTAAAGCTAGAAGAATTTTGAGAGGGTTTTTAATTAAAAACTCAGTTAAAGTTTGAGGACAATGCTGGCACAAGGAAGAGTGCTATGCTTGGGCCTTAACTTTTATTTACAGGATGCTTCTCTGCTCCCAGGTTTCACAACAAGGGAGTTTACGTGAAAGTTGGGCTGCAGAAGATAAGTCATACCAGAAATCTTCACAGAGACATAAAGCTTCAAGTGGACCAGCACGAGGTGGAGTTACCAAGTATAGAAGGACTCATTTTTATTAATATACCCAGGTAAAAGGGAGAGGAAGGATCCTGCATGTCTGGCTGTATGTGTGCAAATGCTGCTTGGTATTTCAGCATCAGATGTTGAACGGTTAGATAAAATGTTAAATGGTCTAAGTTAATAGATGGTTGTTGCTGGGTATTTCTGATTATTGCCTGACTCGCTGGCTTCGCAACTGTGCCTAAGGAGCTAGCTCTTAGTACCATTTTGATAGTTTTTCTGATCCTTTGAAGCTCTCAATCTCACTCCACATGAAGGTGATACTGTCTTGTTTTCCCTATGCAAACCCCCATACATTTGCTGTTTCTTCTGTGTCCTAACAGTAAGTTGGAATGTTTTCCTCTCCAGTGGTCTTCAGGCTTCTTTTGGAGCAGTCGTCTAGTAAAACATGAATTTTTAGGTTTGTTTGTAGGCCTGTGGCTTCTGCCCGCTACCATTTTCCCCCTCCCCAAAACTGTTTGAACAGTCCACTGGATTTCACCGTGACTTGTAGAAGGATCAAAGATGATCAGCTTACAGGCCCTTTCTGCCATGCTAGAGACCAGGTGCCTAAGCAGTTCCTGCAGTGATGGCCAGCCAGGACTCAACTGTCAAACACTGTCCAGGTCCCACAGCCAGCTGGTCAGTGTATGTGGAGTTGATGATGCTGCCCAGGAAAACTGTGGGGAAAACCCACAGTTCAGGTACCTTTCATGGGGTTGCGACACCTGCAGGGAGCTAGAGTTACTGCTGTGGGAGAAAGGAAGGCGAATCTGCAGGAAATCCGGCTTTCTTAGGTGTGCTGTTGGTAGATGCAGGTGTTTTGTTTGCACAGAAGCAGTAGGTAATAAGTGCTGCCATGCTATTTTTTTTTCAAGTACATTCTTAGCTCAAACTACCTGTATCTCTTTCCATTTTAGTCTGAAAATGTTTCAACTTTATATTGAAATATATATATTTACATTTACACACATGTATGTGCACATGCCCATGCACACAGGTATACGTTGCACATGAGAACTGTGGAGAAGAAAAGATCACGATTAGTACTGAGCAGTCAATGCACTGAAACAGCGAGTGAGGGATTTGAGTAAGGAGGGTCAATACTGCACAAAAGGCAACACGGTGTTAAATTGTCAGAAGCATTTCAGAGGATTGAGGTGCAGGAATACCTGCTTCACAACAAGTGAGTTTGGCCCGGTACAAGAGTAAAAACTTGGTACTTGTTTTAGCTTTAGTTTCTCTTCAGTAGCTTCCCTAAATACTGTCAAGACCATTAAGATAAACGTTAAGTTTTTAAGTCTTAAGGGTTAGTGTAGCTGTAACCTGTGTTTCCAAGCAAACTGAAACTCTTTGGGAGTTACTTTTTTCTTACTTACTCTTCTTCATTCAGATAGAAACTACTTATTTCACTCCTCCTTTCACTCCCAAAGGATCTTGTCAGAAGTCTTCCAAATTTTAGGAAAGCATTTCCTGCTTTTACAGTGCAGTAAAGCTGTGTTGTCTCTTCCATTAGAGTCGGTAGCTTTTGAAGTCTGGTGACCCAGCCACCCCTAACAGCGTACTGGGCAGGGTGCTCTGTGGCAGACAGCAGGTCCACAGGTGGTCACTGTGGTGTGTTCTCCACACAGCTGGGGGTCCGGAGCTGATCTCTGGGGGTCTGAGAGTGATAACCGCTTTGAGAAACCACGCATCGATGATGGCCTGCTGGAAGTTGTTGGTGTGACTGGCGTCGTTCATATGGTAAGTTGCTAACTCAGTAAGAACAGACGAAACATACATTTTCTCAGACTTCTTTATTTTTGTAACAAACAGTGCATTGCAAGTGCCTAGTCCCCAAAAGTATGCACCTATATTAAGGTTACACCATCATTTATTCAGGTACTTGTTTTGTCGTGCAGAAGTGGTTACAGACTATAAAAGGAATTCATGGGCAGCGTTGTCTGTCTGTGAACAAAGCGTTCAGATGTCGGGAGTTTAGCTGCTGCTGGTACGCCTGTTCATGGACTGCAGTGCCCTCTCCTTGCCTGTTAATTGGCCTGCCCTGAAGATCTGTATTTAGGGGGCCAGACTACAACGGAGTGGAAACTGAAGAAATCTGTGGTTGGATAAGAAGTAATAGGAGTGCAAAGAACTTGTTAAACATGCATGGGGAAATGCTTCATGACTTAAGTAGGCTTTGAACAAGGCCAGAAACATACATCTATACATATATATATATGAAATGCAAATAGAGATATATATCTATTATGGAATGCACTAGCTTTCTCATAACAGGTGTCAAATACCTCATATCACCATGTCAAAACCAAACAGTTCATGGGATGAAAACAAGATTTTATTTTAATATTACAAAAACACCCACTCTTCCTTAGTGTATTTGCAAAAATTTTGTCATACCTCATCACAAGCAGGGCAGAGATTCCTTCTAGACCGGCGGCTTTATAATTATCGGCCACGGGCTTTCCAACACCTGTCTCTGAGAATCTGATGCTAGCTGCTCTTGATCTGAATACTACATGAAGCAGATGGTATGCCAGTTCTGCAAAGAGTATTATGACTCAATTTCTGCAACTTTAATTTTTCCATGTATTAGATATTTTTAAAATGGCCTGCTGTTAGCAACGCAGTTCTGTGGGATGGCAGGTTATTTTTGTCTTTTCTTCGTATTTCTTTCACTGTCTTAAGAAATCTGGTGGCTGAAAAAGTATATGTGTTCAGGTAACTAGAGGCAACTAGATGATACAGCCGCCAAAAATGGAAAGGCGGGTTCTTAAAATCGTTGGTGCAGCCTGATCTTTGGTGTTGGCCGACTTTACCATTTTGTAATGTACATCTTTTAAGGAGGAGGACAAATATAAAACATTTGATTAGAAGAAGTGGTTTGGTAGAGATCCTTAAAATTTTTGTAAAGTTAGAAGCAACAAGGAGTGTACCCGTTGCTTTGGAATATAAATGTTAACAAACCCTTGCTCTGGTTTTGTGATCTTCTGTTAAGGTTTTTACCCCCATGTTTGGTGTCTGTACACATTCCCCAAGAAAATGCATATCAGCAAACTTCACATTGCTCACTTTTTACAGTTAACACTCAGCTGTTAGTTGTAATTGAGTGTATATATATGTAGTTGAGTGTATGTATGTATGTGTATGGAGTTGAGTCTCCCTTGTTTGATAAAATGCTTTTAGACTTTTGAGTTTCACGTGTGCTGAAGTCTGGATGTATAGTTAGGTGTTCTGAAAATGCGTTTACTACGTTATGGAGGGGGGAAGTAAAAGCAAACAACCTTTGTGAGCACATGCCCCATGGCCAGCTTGCGTGTACACCTGACAAGGTATTTTGCCTCTGGCAGCCTGCAGGGGTATCCGAATTCTTCTTCTTGCACTAACTTAAGTAATAAATGCTGCATCAGTAAAGGGATCCTATGCAGATTTTCCCTAAGCAGTTCTTTTACTTGAAACTTATTTTGTCAGGTGAGAATAAATTTCTGTCCACCCAGTTTAAGTGCAGCTAATATTTGTGCTTCTTATTTTTTGGGGTGATTGATATCCTAGCTTTTACTTCCTAACAGGGTCAAGTCCAAGGTGGTTTTCGATCAGGAATCCGCATAGCCCAAGGCTCATATTTTCGTGTAACACTCCTAAAGCCAATTCCAGTTCAAGTTGATGGAGAGCCCTGGATTCAGGCCCCTGGCCAGATTATTATTTCTGCTGCAGGACCAAAGGTACTGGCTGTAGGTTTGTCTTAGTAAGTTGACTTTGTTTCTCCAGTGGATATTATAGTATTACCTCGCTTGTCTGTTGTGTTCTGATGCTTAACTTTAAAGGAGCTTGTTGGCATGGTGTGGTAACTGTTGGATAAATACACAGCAGTCTCTACAGAGAATGTCCCTTCTGATGAAGCTTGTGTTTAAAAAAATAGTGCCTGAGCTTCAGCCTAGTGACTTAAATTTTTCCCCCGTATTGAGATCTCTCTGCTTGCCTTGAAGCACATCACTGTTATGATGTCCGTGGTGGTACGGCAGTGTGTGAGGTAGGAAGCGGTCTGCTGGCACTGCTGGAGGAGGGAAGGACACTCAGAGAGCAGCAAATGAGAAAACTGAATAATAAAGAAGGAGGGTCTGAGAAGAAGAGACTTTGGAGTAATCAGTGTCTGTTTTTCCTTGGTATCTCAATGTATATATGTAGAAGGAAAAGAGCATCAGCTACCTAAGAATTTAACTTCTCTATTGACATTGAAATTGTGAAATAAACATTTAGCAGTAGTAGACTCTGGTGCACACCAGTCTATGCATTTGCCTGCTACCTTAAGGATGCCCTTTTAACTCACAGAAATTTGTTGCTACAGGCAATCTTGGACAATATGTAGCCCTGCCAGGAGGGCTACCACAATGGCCCTTGCAGAGGAAAACTGGGTGAAAAAGAGGGTCATACCTCAATTTTTTGGAATATGTTAAACTTTGTTCTTTTCCTGAGAGAAAGGGAGGAAAAGAGAGAGAGAACACACCTAACGTGTCCTTCCAGTGAGAAATATTTCTGTCTTTCTATCAGGTTAGTGACTAATAGTGTTATCGGTATGTATGTGTGTGTATATGTGTATACATGAATCTATATGCACACACATACATATCCTTATACATCTATATACATACCTGTGTATATGTGTTTATGTAGAAAAAGCAGTTAATCCTGTAGCTTTATAAGGCTAGGCGCTTCAGCTGGTTGTGTATTTAAATGTTTTTCTGTTTCAGTTGCAACATTTTCCTTGTTTATTAGTTAGTTGCCTTAGATCTGCTTATAAGCGACTACAGATATTTTAATACTCACTCACTTTCTTTTAAAACCTTCCACTTTAGGTCCATATGTTGAAAAAATCCAAGCAGAAACAGAAAAAAACTGGAAGCCTGAGAGAGATGAGAGTGGATAGTACATCAGCCTCTGAAGGAGGACGCTAAGTGGAGACCTGTGCTCAGAAGTGATGCAGCACACCTACTGTAGATGCCAAGACGGTTCAGTAAAATCGAGTGCAGACAACCAGTGAAGAGGGATGCTTATGAGTGTGCCTTTCATTACATTTTGATAGTACTGGGTTCTCCTGCATCTTTCAGAGATAGTGCCTCATTGTTAAAAATAACTATTATGTACCACTTGTCTCATCTGAAATGTTTGCTTTAAGTTGCTTTTCCATAAGCCGTTTCCCAGTTTTCCATGTATATAGAAACTGAGGCCAAACAGAGATTCCAAGATGCTGAGATTTCTGCATCTACCTTCACAAAGACTCTTCCCCTCCTCCCACCTTTTTCTTAAAGAAAATCATTCCACAGATAAATTTTGGTTTATTGTTCCATAAATGAAAATGTGTTCCTTTAAATTAATGCTGACAGTAGCCTCCCAACCAAAAAAAGGCAAAGACATGAGCTGCTGAGAACTCCTTGGATCAGTCCAAATAGCACAGCTGAAACAGTACTACCGTAAAGAGAAAAATACAAAGCACAGGAGAGATTATTTCTATAAAAGGAGCTCTGTGCACTGGGAAGAGAGAAAGTACTAGAACAGTTGAGTCAAAATATTTCAGAGACTTTACTTCAACAGTGTTTGAACAGTATGAATGAAAGGGAAACAACTTGTAGAGCAAGCTGCAACTTAGTTTCTTTTATATTATTCAGCCAAAGCCTATTTTAAAAGGCATTTGAATTTCAGCAGCTACCACTCTAATGTAAAAAAGGAACAAGAATACCTGAGGCAGTATTACATTATACGGACTTTTTTCTGTCATTGAAACCATTATCTTTGACACCAGACTCTTCTGCTTGTCTTTACTTGTGCTGTTTCATTTTCATTAATTTATCACAGTTAGACAGTTATTTAACAGCAAGCTCAAAGACTAAAAGAATCATCACTAATTAGGATAAAAAAGTACCATTTAGTGTTCCCTTAAGTAAATTAGCACAGTCATATGGTAGAGCTGAACTGAAGTTGAGTGTAGCCTTGCTGAGGAGCCTTAGGAGGTACTGAATCACAGAATAGTAGGGGTTGGAAAGGACCTTTCTAGATCATCTAGTCCAACCCCCCATGCCAAAGCAGGTTCACCTGTAGTGTGCATTTAACACGCTGTAGGCTTCAGATAACTGGGAATTTAATAGCTGTCATGAAAACTCACTGACCTGGTTGGCCTTCTCAGGTCCTTGGTGAGTGTTACCAGGTGTGGGCCCAGGGACACAGCGACTGTCTTTTCTCACTTGGATGAGTGTGCACTCTTCAGAGGGTGTTCCTCTGATAGCTCCTGTGAGACTGAGATCACTTCTCTGTGCTTACCCATCTGCTGAAGATGTGGGGATCTAGTACTTCTTTTAGCTTCTGCTAGAGACTGGCGCTAGAGCAGACATGCTGGTGCTGTCATACACTACATATATCTGCTGTCCACAGTCACAGTCGTGTTAGTCTTCACTCAAATCTCTGCTGGTCTCATCTCGCTGTGGTTCTCATGTGAGAGAACTTTTCATTTCAGGTCAACATCTTGCACAAGGGGCCCTCTGAGGCAGTTGTGGTGCAGGTGGCCTGCATGGTTATGCCACCTGTCTGCAACTGCCACTTGAAGCTACTTAAGCCATGTTGGCCAGAGCCCACATAGCTAGCCAGTGGGCTTGCTTGTCCTCTATTGCAAGGTAATAACTAATTCAGCTATGGATCGCATGAGTTCATCACTGAAGTGGCAGCTTTAGGATCATTCCTCTTGCCAGTGTGTCTAGAAAAACATTTCCAGCTGCTTCAGCGGACTTCAGTGTAACTGTGAAATATGCAAAAGCCATTTTGCATTGGAGCAAATTATGTGCTGAGGCAGTTCTTGCTGGGTCTTGTCGATCAGCCTGTGCACTGTGCCAGCTTCACCGATGTCTGATCATTACCTGTGCTTTCTACTCTCCAGTCATGGTGCAGATGAGGGGGTGGGTGCTGCAAGACAGTCATCTATAGCAACAGAATGATATAGCTAAAGCTGTAAACAGAGACAAAACAGCTATGCAAAAATGGCAGCCACCTGCAGCCTCTCCTTCCTGTCCGGTGATTCTTTTCCATTCTCAGTGTTCTAGTAGAGATGCATTTGGAGGACTGACTCCTGTTTTCAGTGAAGCCTGTTACTAATTGTTTAAATTGTTAATTTTAGGGATGTTCTTGAAGTACCATCATGTGGACTCCAGCCTACCTTCTTATTCAACATGCAAGCTGGACTCATGCTATGAAGAAGACAGTGCGGACAGCACAGAGCTAAAATCCCCATCTCCTGATCTTTAAACACAGAATTGTCTGTGCTTCAGAACCTGGGCATAAAGGGTCAGCTGGAGCTTTTCTGGCGTCCTGGTACCAGCATTACAAGTAGGAAGGGTAAAGTTGTATTTCAGGGTATGCCCTCTCAGGATGAAGCTTGCAAATTAGAGAGGAACTCTGAAATAGATGGCTGCTTATAATTGTCCAGAAAGCCAGAGAAACTGCTTTGTGTCCTCAGGGCAGCAGAAAGAATGCACAGTCTTCTTTCCAATTGCTGACTCAGTAATGGAGAGGAAAACTTGACTTTTTGTTACTTAAAACATGCATGAGCTTTAAGCTTGCTGGTACTGACCATCTTCCGCAGCCCAAGTAAATAAACCTGTCTTGCAATTTTTCCAGACATATATAATCCTGCAGCATGCAGCTGACAGTGTTTCATGTTCTTGGCTCGTTAAGGGCCTGGCTGTCTGTCCCTGTTGCTTAGTATCTGTTATCTGAAATAACATGAAACTCAGGTCCCAAGTATTTTAATCGGAGGGCCCATTACTGTGGCATATCCTTCCATGTGGATTTTCCATCCCTGGAACAGTGTACGAGCCTGTCTCGGGGTAGCATTGTGGTAACAAGGCAACAGAAGTATGAATGTGTTCTCCCTCTAACTGCCAGAGGGGATCCTGGTGGAAGATGGGAAGGCTTTCAGTTTTCTTTTTTCTTCCCCTTTTCCAGAAACCCAACTCCCACATGTTGTTTGAGCAGATGAGTGCCACATTGGAATGAAAACATATCTTAAGAAAAACACACTTGGCATTTAAGGTCTCTGTGCATCGTAAAATGACGCTTGGTGTGTTTTGAAGACAAAACAGATTCCTGGGCAGTTGAGATAGGAAAGCTCCTGTAAAGCTTTTAAAAGGAGAAAGTCACTATTTAACCCCTCAATGAAGATATTGCAGTTTCAGGTACTGCAAAAGCCAGTTTCTCAGGATTTTTCTTTTTTTTGAGATTTTCAATACACGTAGTATCTGAGAAGGCTTAGTGTTTTCTTCCATAGTATGTAAGACTTCCTCAAAGAGAGGAAATAACTTTGCAGTTAATACAAAAGATTTTGAGTTAGCCTTTACGTTGAACAAAACAATGCAGTATCACGTGAGAGTGGGCAGAAAAATGATTCTTGGCACTGAGTCATTGAGCAACATTGTGTGAGAACCTAGTGGTCAGATGGCCAAGTGCTTTACATAATGCAATAACAAAAGTGTTGGGGAAGAGGCTTGGTTCTTTCTAGACAGGTATTAATCAACATCAGGGACACAGGACCAGGAACTGTCTATAGGCAGTGAGGAGTTGCAGGCTTATTGCTATCCGAGCACACTCCATCATCCTCTCTCCACTGCCCTGCCTTTTTACCTTGCCTATGAACCATGGCAGGCACCGATAGCACAGCTGGCATCTCTCCTGCTGAGGTACGTGCTCCTGACCTTACTAGTGCCCTACTAGACTTTGCCAGCATGGGGAAGAGAAGGGTCCTGAAAATCATGGTGCATTTCAAATACCCCACTGTTGCAGACAAGAGAAGGTGGTCAGTTGGTTAAAATCTATTTTGATGGGTAAACACATTACCTCTGTCTTGGATTAGGAGAACTGAAATTCAAAAGCTCATCCCTGAGATACAGGTGCTACTTCAGAACATTTGCTACTTTTTCCCCATGGCTTTTACACTTGATTTGTATAGTTTAAATTGCTAATACTTTCGTTGCATTGATTTTTAAATGAAACAGTGTTATTTTGCCAAAACTTTTTGGGTTTTTTATGTATGCACGTATATGTGTGTGTGTACATGTATGCATATACATACTTATGCACACACCCTTTAAAAATAGGCCTTATTGTCATTATTTCCTTTCACAGTGCCTACTTGTACAGCTTTTGCTGTACATTCTGATACACTCACTTCTGGATCTTTCTCTCACCAGTTTTGGACAGGAGGCAGAGCTTGCTTTCTTATTGGTCTCACTGAGGTTCCCAGCACATATTTCTAATGGACATATGCTTTCCCACAAGACATGATGGCAATATAGTGAAAGCACAACTGTGTTTAGAGTACAGTCCCTGCACGTGTTGTTTGAGCGCCTCTTGCTCCTTCTAATCAAGTCTGTGTGTGTCTAAAATCAATGGCTATTGTAGCATTTTAAAAAATAGAAGCAGCTGTAGCATAGTCCACTGCAAGACTTAAATAAGGAACAAAACTAAATGAACTGTTATATAAAATTGTTCATTAATCTTCATAGTTACCCTCTTGCAAGTATTGTACAGATTGCATTTCTTTAAAGAGCAAATAATGTACTTTTGAATATCAGCTCCTTGGAATCACGAACCATTTATGCGCACACATTACTCTGCAGCAGTCTGTTGGCATATAAAGATGTCATTATGAAATGAAGCCTCATTTTGTGGAAGGAGAAGGTAAGAGGAGCTGTTGTGACACTTAAGAAGGACTTATGTTGAAGACACAAGAGGTTTAACTGCATAGGTATTTTATAGTGTACTGACTGCGTGAGCAGGTATGCCCTGTGCTACAGAGGCGCTGGTCCATACTCCAGCACTGAAACTGAGGGAGCGTTGGAGTTGTGCACTTGAGAGACCTGGCAGTAGATGTTCTTTCAGTCTGTGCCTCACACCTCTTCCTTCACAGTAACTGTGCATTTTCCTCTTCTGCTAGGCTGCCTTCCTGCCCTTTGGGCCTAGCTTTATACTGAAACTGGTAACAAAGGCATGAGTATGCGATGGTGAATCTGTGTGGAGAGCAGGGGGATAGAGACCCTGCTCTAAAACACCGCTTTGGCCATTGGGCTTAGACTGTTCATTAATTTCTACTTCAACCATTTATCCGTGCAGGAAAGACTCAGCAACTACTGAACTACCTTGGACTCATGGTGACAGCATTGCCTCATTTTCAGGCTTCGATCTTATACGCACCAATGCATGTATCACTTCTCATACTTTTTGCACTTAACAGAAAATGCAGGTTAGATAGGCTTAGGGTGTGGCAAAATTGCAATGTTTGTACTTTTTTGTAAATATGGGGATGA